GCGCGCACCGTCGCGTCGAGTCGCGTCGCTTGCGTAAATTGTATTGTTCACGGCGCGCGTTTGATTGTTGAAAGAGACACGCTACGTGGAAAGCCTGTCGAGAAACCGTGAACGAGCGAATAACGAGAATTTTTGTTTATTTCTTTTTTATCGGTTAGAGAAACCTTTTTCTCTTTTTTCTCTCATTCACGACTTTTTTTTATTGGTACAGTAGATTGACGCTTAACTTAGCTGTGATAAACTAATATATAATTAAGTAATTGTCATTTATCGGTTGTTAATGAACAGAATCGTTATAATTATTATAATTTTCTTTTTCAAAAAAATCGATATTCTCTGCTGTTTTAATTTAAATTTGTCTGTTACAGTAAAATCAGATTTTGACCTAGTGGTCACCTACCTCGCCTTAATAAAAATCTATGTAATCGATTAAATCGGGAATCGACTATATAATACAGGTATAAGTTAATTATTTTTATAAATATTTAATAAGATACCTAAATTTGTAACCAAACCATATCTAACGATGTGGTCCTTGTCACCAGTATTTAACATAAACACGGAACAATATATGATTTATGAATTTCAGGTAATAATGACTAGGGTGTTACAAGGTTCGAAAAGTGGTAATAAAATATACAATCCCTTTTAATCCCTTAAAGCAGTAGCCCGTACCTCAGAAAAGGGCAGATATTTGCTATTTTCGAAATACACCACTAAATTGTTTAATTATATAATTATAAATATTTTTTATATATTTGGATACATTATCTCGTATATGCATGGTTTCGTGAAATAATAAAAACACGAATATGTTCAAGTTGTTAGAAGTTTTGTTATCGCTTTTGTATCCCTTTTGAACATTCTGTATATATTGCTGCTATGTAATAATAACGTCAAAAATGTTTATCATACATAAGATTTGCAACATTTTTACCAAAAATATCACAAAAGGCACAATTAATCGCAAAAGAACAAAATAACCAAAAATATGCTTCCTATAAAAAAAGAATAAAAATAACAATTTTCTAGGTTGAAACGAAAGTAAGTATGGAAAGATAAACAAGAAGAACTTTCCTTCTCAAACGACTCTGTATGACAAAAAGGAAAACTAAAATATGCATCAAGAGAATGGCTATCACGCAGGAAAAAGGTCACCTTTTGTAACAATCTCCTTTTATACCCTTCCACCTGTTTTTTTTGCCGTTCTTGCAACCCTCAATCCGAAGGGGGTAAGGACGTTTACAGTTGCAGAATATCGTTGCGTTCTGTTTGCTCCCTCTCCTTCATGTCACTTCCGCTCCCTACCTCTTCTCGCACAGGTTTCACCAATTACGCGCCTTCTGTGGCCGTACTCGTCCATCCTGACACGACAGAGAAATATACAGTCTTCCCTACACTTCCGAACTACTCCCACCCTTAAAGATCACGGTCGCAGGTTCACCCTGTCTCGTTTCTCGTTTACTCTATTTCTTTCTCTTTCTGAACCTAACGCTCTAATATAACGTTCTCTTTCTATGCAACGTTCTATCCTCGTCCATCATTTCACCGAGTACGTATTCCAAGTGTATATCTTTTCTCTCACGCTACCCTTTACGTCTTCCATTCTATGTATCTTCGTCTAACACGCGTTAGGCTTGCCTTATCCCCCAAAGAGGCACGTTTGGTGCGACTCGCGCATCTAGGGTTGCTATTCGAGAGGGTAGAAAAGTCTGTGAATAGTAGGGGGAACAGGAGGTAGTGGGGAGGCTGGAAGTAAGGCGGTGGGGGATGTTTGACTACAGAGAGCGCGACTCGATTGTCAGTTAGTATTGGGTTAGGTCAGCCCAGAGTAACGTCGTTGGTTGTCGTCGTTCCTTGTAGTCGGACGGCGACATTTGTTGTTTATAGTAGAGTAGTATCACGTTTTTACATACCTTGTTTTCTCTTCTGTTCTTGTTTTCCTCCTTTTTTTTGCTCTTCATTTCTTTTAGGACGTTCGGTTCCGCGAGGCACGCGCCAGTTTTGTCGAGAACGTCGACAGAGACGACAGTCATCAAGACAAATATATCATTATATTTGATATAAGTTCGATGAATAAAATTTCGGTGATCTCTCGCGCCGCTTTTCCGCGTTTAACTGCCTTGACCCCGAGACGAAAGGAAGAATTGGTTTTGAAGAAATATTGGAAACAGGAACAACATTTAGAAACGATCCATTCGTTTCATTCGACCACGCTCTTTGTTTGTGCAGTGTCGCTGTTTGTTAGGTTATACGTATAAGCGTTCGTCTATACATCTCGTTCTCTGCTATCGTCGGAAGTGTTCGCGCATTGTGTACAGAAGTGGATGGAGTGTCATAGTGAAAACACGTAATACGGATCATAGAATGGCACTGTCTTATCTTCAAGAGGCGCAGATTAATGCAGGTATGAATTCCCACTTGTCAATAGACCCAGTACTCTGTGCTGCGCTATTTAACACACAATCTTCCATCAACCCTTTCACTTTTTGTAAAAACTATTTGCGTCAGCAGTTAAAATCACACGTATGATTTCGACTATTTGTATAACTATCACCTGTAACTAAAACGCGTTAGTCGAATGCGCAACACAAGTTGGCGCGCGCGCGTAGAGAAAATATACCGTTGCACTTTGTTTATAACCTAGAAAACGTGTTCACATCGGACGCCGGCGGTGCACTTCACGTTTTCGAGCATTTTCGTTGCAATCACACGGTGGCATGGTTATTTTCGGACGACGGTTGCAACCGCGAAACTCGTCGAGTCTCATTTTCCTAAAGCGAGCTCTCCTCTCCCTTCCGTCGAGCAATTTCACGTCTTCCTGGCTTATTGATGTTTACAATGTGTCACAACACGACTGTGTCGCCGCGAGCACTTTTAGACTTTGGCGGTATGCCAGTTTGTCGTTAACATGTCCCTTAAGCTAGAAAAACTTTATTCATTCGTCTTTTTTCACGATTGTATCCACTTCGTGGAACATGATAAATACATAACGCGATTGTGTAACTGCACGTCTCTTTCGGTACAAAACAAAGAAAAAGTGGTATCACCTTGGCCGTGTGTCAAAACAAACGCGAAACGAGAAACTGCGAATGCCTTTTGTTTTCGACCGGATGTGACGCGTGTTATACGCGATGAAACTCGTATTTATGAAACATTTAGATTGGGAATTGGCTTGTGCGGAAGATGAAATAAACTTTGGTGTCGATTGCAATATCTTTCCAAATTGAAAATTCTACCACAAACATTAACCTTTTCATAGCCACAATTGAAATTTTTGCCAAATAATAAAAGTCCGTAGATAGAAAAATTAGATAGAACATATGTCTATTTTAGTAAAACCGATTTAGTCTTTTTATTGTGTGAATTGGTAAATAGAAATAGTAAGGGTTATAGTTTTTATGTAGAAAGTATCTTTCAAAATTAATATTTGTCAAATTTAATTCTTGTTTTTCTATTATATATATATATATATATATATATATATATATATCATATAGAAAAACAAGAATTAAATTTGACAAATATTAATTTTGAAAGATACTTTCTACATAAAAACTATAACCCTTACTATTTCTATTTACCAATTCACACAATAAAAAGACTAAATCGGTTTTACTAAAATAGACATATGTTCTATCTAATTTTTCTATCTACGGACTTTTATTATTTGGCAAAAATTTCAATTGTGGCTATGAAAAGGTTAATGTTTGTGGTAGAATTTTCAATTTGGAAAGATATTGCAATCGACACCAAAGTTTATTTCATCTTCCGCACAAGCCAATTCCCAATCTAAATGTTTCATAAATACGAGTTTCATCGCGTATAACACGCGTCACATCCGGTCGAAAACAAAAGGCATTCGCAGTTTCTCGTTTCGCGTTTGTTTTGACACACGGCCAAGGTGATACCACTTTTTCTTTGTTTTGTACCGAAAGAGACGTGCAGTTACACAATCGCGTTATGTATTTATCATGTTCCACGAAGTGGATACAATCGTGAAAAAAGACGAATGAATAAAGTTTTTCTAGCTTAAGGGACATGTTAACGACAAACTGGCATACCGCCAAAGTCTAAAAGTGCTCGCGGCGACACAGTCGTGTTGTGACACATTGTAAACATCAATAAGCCAGGAAGACGTGAAATTGCTCGACGGAAGGGAGAGGAGAGCTCGCTTTAGGAAAATGAGACTCGACGAGTTTCGCGGTTGCAACCGTCGTCCGAAAATAACCATGCCACCGTGTGATTGCAACGAAAATGCTCGAAAACGTGAAGTGCACCGCCGGCGTCCGATGTGAACACGTTTTCTAGGTTATAAACAAAGTGCAACGGTATATTTTCTCTACGCGCGCGCGCCAACTTGTGTTGCGCATTCGACTAACGCGTTTTAGTTACAGAATCAGATTGAATCGAATCGACATTCGATTAGCTAACGGTCATTCGCATGTAAGTTTGTTAGATAAATGATATTTTGAATAGAATTGATATCTTATTAATCTTTGCTTGTTATTTTAACGTATATAATTATATTTCTTCTATTTTTGAGAAATTTTTTAGATTTGTAGAAATAATTTAGAAGAATTGTTGTTATACGGATATATATATACGCGACTTCTTGTTTCGATTAGTCGAAAGTTGATCTTTGCACTTTCTTTAGGCAATCATGTGTTTCTATGAAAGAGTCTGTAATCAGTAATGTAGTAATATGCGATTTCTCGTTTCGATTAATCGAAGTATGATCTTGAGGTTAGTCTTTAACCAATTGTATTTTCTTTAGCCAATCTTATTGTCCTGTACAAAATTCTTAAGTTAGAAAGAAGTATGAAAAAATCATTGTTAACAGAATAATATGTGATTTCTTGTTGCTATTACTCGATGTATGATCTCGTGAAATAGGTATGATTGACTAATCTATAATATAAATCCTATGTTGTACAGAAAATATTATGAGAAGTGTATGATTCTGTTAATGAAAGGAACTTAAAGGAAATGAAACGGACTTATTTATAGCATCATTATTCGGTTACCATATACGGAAAACAGTTTCGTATATTTCTTCATTTATTTAATTTATTCTTAGAAGTAGTTTCCTGTAGGTTCCATAATTCACGTACTATCTTTCATAATATATATATAACGTCAACGCCATTCGTCATTGCTTAATGAATATGTAGAAAGATAAACAGACTGGTGTAAAAAAAAAAATTGCCCAAGAATCATGTACATTTGAATATTTTGATATTCGATTATGTATAATCAAACTTGGTATTGAACTTCTTAAAAAATAAATTACTTTCTTTTAACTTCATTTGTTGCAAGAAAATAAAAAGATTATTGTACCTTTGAAGGAAAATTTTATGAAATAGTGTTTGTAATTATCATCACATTTTTCTATTCTCCGATTTATGAACTTGATCAGCCTCTGAATAGCTAAAAGGTCGCTAAGTAGAATTCAAATTCTATTAAAATCAAATTAAGATAATGGTCTAACAGAAAACTACATACTACTTTATTTATAGAATCGGCCAGATTTTATAAATATATATTCCATGTATTTTTCAGTCTTTATTGAGATTACGTTCCATGTTCAGAAGTAAAGGAGGCTGGCAGCGAAGAAGAAATTTTTATTCGGACCTAAGGGAAAGGGATTCGGAATGGAATATTGGGGTTGCGACCAATTAGGGTAGGGATGCGAGCGGGGCGGTACTTCTCGTCGTGTTGCCGGGAAACGGCGATTGTAGGCTGTAAGAATCTTAGGCCACGTTAAGGGAGGTTTTAGGGTAAGAGAAGAAAAGAGAATAGATCTTACTCGCCCTTATTGATTCAACTGGGTCTCATTACAGTTCCCCTTCTAAACGGTCCATTAATTAGTAAGTGGCGGGCTGAACCGCCATGGCCGGTTGATTCATTGTTTCCTTAAATTAAACTTCGTCTCATCTTGCATGTAGATTGCAAGTGGCCAGTTAGACAGAAGTCTTCGAATAATTACGATTTAAGTCCCGATGTCGATTTATTCCTTCTGCGAATAAGAAGTAAAACTTCGAAGGAAAACGATCACTCTCCGATGTAAATGCACCATCGAATTATTATTTCGTCGTTATCATAATATCTCTTGCATCCGCTAATTTCGTAAAGCGAGCCTCTTATTAATTCAATTACCTCGTCGAGCCTTGCCAATCACGCGAATAAGCAATCATCGGAAGGTGTAACCCTAATACGAGGGTTGCTCTCTTTTTTTTTTCGAGGATGTTAAAATTATCTTTCGTAATATCTTCTTCACTTAAATTGCTTTATTTTAAAAGACGAATATGCTAAGAATCTTTATTTTTTATCATTCAAAAACAGAGTTCCAATATCACTGTTTCTTAAACAGAAAACACGATTCTCTACAAACAATGAAACTCTGAGTTCTTATACAACCGTATACATTTCATACCTCGAAAAAATTAGATTTCTTCGTAGAAACACCTCCAAAAATACAATTTCTATATAAAAAGTCCTGAAAGTACGGTTTCTGTGAAAAATCTTCAAAATGCAATTTCTACGTGAGAACTTCGAAAAAGTTTCGTTCCCTGTAGGAAAAATTCTTCGACGTTGAATATTCCCAAAAATTTAATTTCTACGTGATAACTTCCACAAATTTGGTTTTCTACTTGAATTCTTTGAAATTCACTTTTATGCCAAAACCCCAAGACGTTCGTTTTTAGAGATTTCTACTCTAAGATCTTCCAAAAAAAACATGCTTTTCACGCCAAGAAATTCCTACACTGAAAATTCTTCGAAATTCAGTTTTTACACGGAAATCCGCGAGAATTCCATTTGTACGCGAAAGAAAAAAACGTGGAAAATCCGACGTGTACGCGGAAAACCACGTGGAGATGTTCGTAGAATGCAGGCACGGCCTGCACTTTCACAGAGTCGTTGGCCTCAAGTCGAAGAGAGGCGGGTACATCGCGGTGACGTGGGTGGGAAGTCGAGGCTTATGAATGAACCGCCGCCGTACGAGAGTGTGAGTGAATGGAGGAGGACCGTGCTTCTCGCTCACGTGTGAGGAACGTGTGTGGGAGGGCTGCGAGGGAGTGACAAGGAGGAAAATACAGACACACTGTGGAGCACGCGGGAGAAAAGATCGTCGTACGATTCCGTACACGTACAAACGCTCGTCCTTTTTCGCGCATCGTATTCGCGTCTCTCGTAACCAGTGGGCCACACCACGCGATTTGTTGTGAAACGCCACGCTATTCGTCAGAATGCCAGGCAACTTGCGAAAATCTGTATCCAGAAGTCGACCTTTTTTAATTTTTATTGCTAGGAAGATAGCTATCTTGTATTCGTATTTCATAAAATCAATATTTTCAATCGAAAATCAAAACTGACATTTTTAAATTCGTTTTATCCATTTATTTGATATATTATGAGAGAAGTGTAGGAAATGATAGTTGACAGGAATTTCATGATTATTGGTTAATGTAGTAGTTATCTAAAATGAAGGTCAATGTTTGTGTATGCCTTTTTTGAAGCTCTTGTAACATTGATAGTGTAGAAATAAGAAACACTTGAAAGTCTATATGTTCTAATTAAAGCAGAATTATTTTTGTGAGTGTTCAGAACTAGTATTCAACTTTCTCTGTTATAATACGTAATTATCTCGTTTGTAATCAATTACCATTCAAGAAATTTTCCTCTTTTGCTAATGAATCGTATAACACAAACGAAAGATCGCGAAAACATTTCTCAAAATTGAACATAGACCATATTGATATCAATATCAGTTATGGTCATAATGTTACATATTAAATCCATATTTGTAAAAATTGACGAAATTTCCTCTACATACGATCAACGATTACTTTTACACCAATATTAGCACAGCAATAATATTTCAGGACTTGCAGCCGGGCAGCACCTCGACATGAAGCAAGAATCGGAGAAGCAACCATTGTCGTCACCGTTGAACAACACGTCGCAAGTGATGTTCCCTGGAATGGGTAACACATCGCCAGGTTTATCTATACTCACACCTCAGCAATTGATAGCTGCAAGTAGAACAGCAGCTCTGATGGCTGCAGGGATTCCCGTGTCGTTGCACGCGACATTAGCCTCCAGCCCGTCTCTGTACGGACACCACCAGACTTTATTCAGTGGCTGGGCTCCACCCACTGCATCCTCACCTCCGTCACCGCTTCACCACTCACCAGGATCTGTATCACCCGCGTTGAGCAGTAAATCTACGTCCAAACGCGCCAATAATGGCGTCACAAATAACAATAACAATATTAACAGCGTAGTAACTAGTAGTGGTGATAAAATCACGAAGAGAGGTCAGACGACCAAGAGGAAATCGCAAAAGTCGAAAGTGGATACTGTACAGCAACCGTTAGAGGGCTCAGCGCCTTTAAGCCCACCAAGCTCAATCAGTCCCGAAGCGGGCAAGGACGGAAGGGACAAGGTGTTCACCTGTGGAGTGTGCTCCAGATCGTTTGGCTATAAGCACGTGCTGCAAAACCACGAACGCACCCACACCGGTGAGAAACCTTTCGAGTGTCCGGAATGTCACAAAAGGTGAGTTTAGAAAGAGAATGATTGTTCTTCATACGTATTTTAATATGAGTATTAAATTCATTTTAGATTACTTAACATCTTATATAGCTTCTCTCATCGATATAAAAAATTATATCAGAATAAAATTGATTGGTTTGTAATAACGAATGTTATGAATTTCTGCCCTGAAAGTAATTTTTTTCTAAGGTCATATCTTTTTAACTAGGACTATACATTTTTTATGTAACAATCGAAGCACTTCATATCATCGCAAAATTGTAACTTTTGTTACGCAATAGAATCTCTGGATGATGGTGATCTCGATATGTTATAATGTTGACTGGCATTGATATCAAATATAAGATATAAAATATCACGTGCGAAGGTCTTATTTTTAGTGAAACAAGTTAAGCAATCGTGTTAATGTGTCTCGTACTGCGTCATCAATGACGCACGACAGAAAGCAAGAATAAAGATTTCATTACTAAGAAAATTAAAATGACAAGAACGTAGTACGATAACATTTTCTTGGAAATGTTTTCCGTGGTTATATATCTTAATATAAATTTCTCACTTGATTTTCAAGTTGTTTCAAAAATATCAATTTTTGTACGATGCTCAGTAATAATATTAATGTATGATGAATATATGACGTTAGATCAGTGTTATTCTTGAATAGAATCCCATTCGTATCTGTTTGAGATAACATAACGTTAGTTAGCTTTTGCATGATTTAATAAAAACGAAATAAGCTTAAAGTCATTGAAAAAGTAAAACTCATCGTGAATTCTTTCCCATTGTACACGTACATTGCTTATTTCTACGCCTCGTGTTTACTTTGTGCTACTATTCCTTATTCAGAATACTGAACATGCACATCTGCGGGCGCAATATTTCCATTTGAAACGTATCTGGAAACGATACAGATAAAAGTCAAGATACCAGCTTTGAGGTGCACAGTATTTATTCCGTTGACCAAAGGTTGAACCCTTTCAACATACTATCCTACATCAAAATTTTTCTATATTTTTACAAACGCAATATACTACATTTATCCTATACTTACCGTATCCTTTCACCTTTTAGCAGAGTGCATTTAACTTCCAATTATCCAATTAAAGGATCCAGAGTCAAATCTTCCAAAATTAAGAAGGAAATCATTACATTTGTAATGCAGATTCACGCGGGACCATCATCTAAAGACCCACATGCGACTTCACACGGGCGAGAAGCCTTACCACTGCAGCCACTGTGATCGCCAATTCGTCCAAGTAGCCAACCTGCGTCGCCACTTGCGCGTGCACACTGGTGAACGTCCATACGCGTGCGAGTTATGTTCAGCCAAGTTCAGTGACTCAAATCAACTGAAAGCTCATCTACTGATCCACAAGGGCGAGAAACCGTTCGAATGCGAACACTGTCAGATGCGATTCCGACGAAGGCACCACCTGATACATCACAAGTGTGGCACCAGTATCAACTCTGGACAAGTAACGAGGACACAGGTTGCCTCTCCGTCCTTGGCAAGCGACGATTTAGATGAGGATATCGACATTGATATCGACGTAGAAGTAGAGGAAGCCGAAGCATCATCATTGGCCAGCAGAAAAACAAGTGCTTCAGTTAGGCCTGTGCAGCAGTTAAGTAATCAATTAGCAAGTCCTGTCATCGGCAATTCTATGCCCATACCACTGAATTTAGCTGATATTCCTGTGGATCTACCAGAGCAAACAGAACCAGAAGACTTATCTATGTCAACCGGTATGCAGTCTCAGTGCAGACCACATTCTCAGTCAAATAGCATCAGTGACTCGCCATTAAGTCGTAGTCCAAGCAGCGACACCATACACGGAGAGGAGGAGGATGATATCGATATGATGTCAGAAACGTCCAGCTCGAATGCTGTTTTCGGTCAAAATCACCACAACAAATATACGCACTTCGCATCCCTTGGAAACACTGCCGCGGCTAATGTCGGCCACGCGTCCTAGTGGAGTCTTTAGGGGTACGTAGACATAATACTTGTAGAAAAGCCATCCTGTACTTTATCTCGGTTCGACGCTTCTACCCAAGGAAAAACGCTACTCCAAGGTTTTTAGGGTGGGCAAAGGAAAAGAAATAAGGGGAGAAAGAAATAGAAAGAGATCGTCAGAAGGGAGAAAAATGGAGTTTCTCGTTTATATTGGATAGTAAGGCGAATCGAGTCCCGACAGGCTCACGAATCGAATTGAATCCTCACACTGAATCCTCCACGCACCGGTTCACAGTCACTATTGTTAAGATGCTTTTTATAGATATATATATTATATTATTATAGATGATTATTAATTATTACTGTACCTATACGAGGCAAGGGGGGAGTGAAAGATAGATGTCGAGTAGCGTATTGGCAGATCTACGAGTATCCTCTGCGTAAAACGTGTAATTTATACACAATGGAACAAACATTCAGGGACGTGAATCTTTTTGGCAATGAAAAAAAGAAGAAAATTGATCGATATTATAGATACGAGAGGAAAAGCGGCCAGGATTTTCTTTTCTCAGCTGTTGGTTTATTTCCTTCGTGTACATAATTACGCGACAACAAAGAAACTGAGAAATAATTGTGTATTTAGTTGGTCGCTGTAGTTTCGCGTGTTTCGTTTTTCGATGAAAGCCGCGATAATGAGTTTAGATAGATATTAATATTAGTTAGATAGTAATAAAGATATGAGAGGCAGACGCAAGCTATATACAGTTTGCAAGTACATGTCTCCGTTCGTGTAAATGTGAGCGTGATTGTGTTCGACACATATGTACATATGTGCACGTGTAAATGATTGGAGAGAGAATCGAAAAATAAAACTAGAAATTACGGAATGAATGTACTGGTATACAAGTTCCTCTGACAGTAAAAGTAGCGGGGGGGAGTGACATCGGTTCGTTGGTCCTCTGTCGCTTTCGCACTTCACTGATTTGTCAAGCTGTCGACACCATTGTTCTTTTTTTTTAATTCTTTTATATTTCTCAGCATTCTTTGTCGATTTTCAATTTCTCGTCTTCCTTCCGTTATTTTTTTTTTTTTTTATGAGAAATGTAACTTTATGCAATGTATAAGACGTTTTTACAATGCCCTTTTTAAGTTAATTTTGTCTGTAACTGTACCACACAAGTAAGTTATCTGAAGTACATGTACGCGTGTAACTGAGATCATAACTGTTAGAACTACTCATACTTTCCGACTGTATCAGCATGACTTTTTGTTACGTAACACCGAGAACGAGCTCGAGATGTCTTCTACTGTTTCTGATTTGCACCCTCAAACGTATACCTCTAGCATCATGCCTTTCGCTAACGAAATACTTTATTTCATATTAAAGTAAGAGAATTGTGACACAAAAGATTGACTTCGATATATTTAAATATTACACTATCATTGCATTTAAATATTAAAACACATTTAACGCTAGAGTTTTATTAAAATTCATGGAATATCAATCGCTACCTTCACAAGCTTTATATCTACATACACTTCTCCGATTCCCAACTAACAATCGAGAAAATAGCCACAAATTTTCGCACTATACGGCGAATTAAAAGTCATAGTAATGTAAGTTAAGATTTCGAGAATTTGAATTTAATTTCTTAAAAATCTTCCAATTAAGTCTTTGGATTTCTATCCTTAAGAGTCATCCGTCTCGCTTCACAATAAATTAAATTAATATATGCTTTCATAACTTAGAAAGATGCATTGAATTTTCAGTGACAATAAATAGCAAAACACTATTTTATGGAATATAGCAGAAATCACTCTACGTATTCTTCTATACGCGAATATACACATCAGAATTCAAAAATCATCTCGCAAGAGCGAAGAATCAAAAAACCCGAATCACCCTTGATTTACATACGCCTTCGCAAAAAATTCAACCCGTAAGACGATCTTCCGGCGTGATTTCGATTCGCATTAATCCTTACAATGATCGAAGCCTGCGAGTGGATCCTTGAACGAGAATCCTTCGTTTCACGAAGGATACGTGTTCTCTGTTCATTCTCGTTGTACAATCAGGGACCATCTTTTCTTCTCCGATTTCCATCTTTTTTTCTAACAGGCAGCCGGTTGCTTGAAGGAGAACGATCTTTTGTTGCTTAGACTACGGCGGCCGTCTGTTTCGCGCGAACCAGTTTTCGCAATGATACACACAGCCGCGTGCCGAAAATTCGCAGCCGGTGGTCGTCTTCGAAACGAGATAAAGCATCCCTCCATCCGTCGTCGACTTTCTAGCGGATAGCCTGTGCCAACTTTGCCTCAATGGTCCTCTGATTTATGTTCACCGGTCAGCATGCAAATTTCATCGGCGTGGTTCGAGGCCATTTCGACTCATTGTTCCATGGGTCAGTCCTAGGACTCTTTTTGGGGACGCGAGAAGTGGTCGTGGTAACATCTTTCATCCTCCTTCTTCCGGGTCTAACTGGGCCCCATTTCTTGTTTCTGAAATTGTAACGCCGAAGCCAAGCGTAATATAACACGATGTACTTTGTATACCGTTCGGTTTTTCGATGACATAAAAGGACAAGAGAAGTAGGTACCCTCGTCTGCATTTCCTGCAAGTGTCGCACGAAACATTCCCGAGCACACAAATTGCCCTCGTTTCGCTTCCGTTCCATTCGTACGACCATTTCGTAAGAGAAGGAACGAAAGAACAATTTCTTCACTGGATGCTCGACTCTGTTTCGTTTAGGTCTTCGTTAAATCTCGCGTTCACATCATTTTGTGTTAGATATCTCGTAATTCAAAATTAGCTTTTCGATGAATAATGTTAATAGGGTTTTTTGAGCAAATGAATTATTTTGATCTAAAAATACCAAAATTTTCTTTCACTTCTCCTAAGGATATAGACTAAGATGTAGATTCTCTACGGATCTAGAGAATCGTCTTTTAAACCGATACTTTTTCCTTCTTTTTCATAAAAAAAAGTTTGAATCATTGAAGATAGCGTTTGAAGATAATTTAATATTAAGAATGAGATTTTGCTTGATAATTCTACTAAGAGATAAAACTTACTGGTACATATGTTTTTGAAAATGTGTCTTTAATTTAAACTTTGAATTGAACCGATTTTATATCTATATTTTAAAATCATAATTATCAACGAGACACGATAATCGACGATCGAAGCACAAAGCAAACGTAAACAGTTAACTGACGTAGAAGAAATAAGTTTGGAAATTAATCGGTGGGCTTTCTCTTTTCGAAAGTGAAAATATAGTTGGGGTCGTACCGGGGAAACAGAATCCATAGCCGTTGCGTTACACTTTCGCCACATTCTTTCCCAAAGGTCCCGACTCATCCGCACTTCTCACTCGTTATTCACGTTCCAAGCTTTCGAGGAGCATTTTCCAGCCCACTTGCCTCTTCCTCCCTCTTTGAGACCGCGCGTTTTCGCCCTTTTATACACGTGTTACGAAGCATCTCTCGAGCTCTTTCCAGCAAAACATTTTGATCGCTCATTACACTGCTTCTACGTACCAAAAATTTCCTTTCCTTTGGAAATTTAAAAAAAAACTCACGGCTTACACTACAGTGTGTAGGAGAATGTATATGTAACGTAAGAACTTTCAAATCATTCATTGTTTATTTTTTATTTTGCATTGTAGTTCTAAGATTATTACGACACATGTGATACAAATTACGGTCGAGAGCAGACCGACACGATACTTTTCATATGCATTTTTTAATAAATGGTACTATACAACACATTTCATGGATTTATGTTTTTACCATCAATGTATAATTACACTTGTTTGAACTGCACAGAAAACAACCAAATATCTTACTGAACAATTCGATAAGAAATAAGGATGTTAAGTGTTCAATGGGACACAAAGTTCTTAAGTAATTTCATTTTTCTAATGCTCTGTAAACGCATCAGGTCGACGTCGCTAACAAGTTATAAAAATGTCATCTTTAAATTACCTTCCTTTAAATTTCAATTTTTATTCGAATAAGACGATTATCCTAAAAGCTAATATTTCAGAATTTGTCACACTTTTGAAAAGCGTAAGTGAAATCGATACATGTATCCGAACAATGAAATTTAGAAATTTCCAAAAAGGTCGAGTTAGTACCACTGCTACAATCTGTTAATTCTATCATGCTGTATTTGTTTATATATCGTTTCTAATGAAATAGAATATTCCATTTATTTTGAATAAAAGATATTTTTCTTCTCCGTTTGTTCGTCCATTAGTTCGTCTTTAAATAGACGTCAATTAATTTTAACATCGACAGCCATTCGAGTAACAGCGACAGAGGTCAGTAAGCTCCGGCCTCGTACCCCGGAGAAAAGCAAAAACCACCCCGAATCCCAGGTGTATTGTATATTTAGAGAGACCCAACTTCAAAATAAAGCGATATACAAGATAAAAGAATATTATAAACTGCGGTTTTTCTTGTAATATGCGAGCGTACCGTTAATCCTTTAATTCGCTTTTCGACATATAACAATTCGATATATAACAATTAAACTACGAATTTTTATAACGTACAAGGGTATAAATATTGTTTAGAATATTTAAAATTTACAATGATTTTCTCCTATTTAATTTTCATTTTTACAGCTCTCTTCATAAAAGTATAAATTCGCATGAAAGTTCGCAGCCTAGTAATAATAATCTATGGATGAAGGACCAATATCGTTGTCATTGAAAATCAACGTGAGCTTTTAACTTAATCAAACTAATTACCGAATCGTATAGCAGTTCGAAAGGCGAATATAAAAGTAGAATATCGTTGCATATAAAGATTTATGCTTGCAACAGTGACTTGTGATGATAATAGTTACAAAAATAGTTTGTATTATAACTTGTTTTTGTTAATGTGTTTTCTGGTATGAGATGGTTCATTCTCTATTAATAGAGAAGGTAAAAAGGAAAAATAAAAATGTAAAATAATTCTTGGCTAAGAATTCTCTCATATATTGAATTCTTTAATTTCTTATTATGAGTCTATTTCTAGAAAATAATCTAAAACTGGATTAATTTAGTATCATTGAGAATTTGCATTTTAATAAGATCGTTTTTAAGTTATACATTAATCATATGATATATGATAAAGGTTAATATAAAAATTGAAACATTTCTTAGGAAACCTTTACAATCACTAAAATAGCTATTTTAGTGAAATCATCTACACCACCTGCACACTATTGATCGTGTTAAAATAAACGTATACTAAACATAGATTCCATTAAACTACGCAGTACCGCAATAATATCATGTTCCTCGTTTGATTGCCATTTGTTTTTTCTATAATTATGTGCCATTGAGTAGATTATATATGCGCAAAAGATAAATAGTCTTTCGGTAGTTAAAGCTAAGAGCACGGTACGCTCGTCAATTTTGTTTTGCACGACATCGATCAGTTGTTTGAAAGATCGAATTTTAAATGGAAGTTTAATAACGTAACGAGAGGCGAACTACGCTCTATCCTAGTTTTATATACGTCATTCTGTAGAATTTACGTCGTCGAATAGATAAAATCCACGAAGCAAATGGCGAAAAATGGATACTATAAGAGGAAAGGGGAAACAGGAAAAGGAATAAAGTAAAATCGTATGATTCGTTCTTTTTTTTTCTTCTTGCCAGTCAATTTCCATTCGTGGACGATACATTCTACCCGACGACGATTTCTGAAACACGGTACCTTGAAAGAGATCGATTCCTAGTTAATGGTTGTTAGTTCCGAATTGATACTGGTGAAATTACGTTCCTGTCGGCCCGCTATATATCGGTTCATATATACGGGCCAATTGTTTTCTATGTTTCTTTGTAAACAGACCAGAATCACTGAAAATAATAGCCGAAGATTAGACGAAAAGAATTAATGGATTAAAGATAAAAACGGAAGTCTCGCGTCGAGTACCTATTTGTATTTAAAGAAAAAAATAGAATTATCGCTTGTCCTACCTACTGTCGTAATAATCATTATCGTTGTTGTCCTTTTAATCTTAATGTACAAGGGAAAAAAGAACGTACGTATACATATGATTACTATATGTTTGTGTCATACTATAACACTATATCGAATACAATGTGTATCGCAAAGAAAAAGTTCGGGAATCGCGAGTTAGCGGAAGTGAAACTCGAATACAATGTACATTAATACGAGAAATCATACGATATTTATCACAGACTATAAGCTAATCTGTATAATATAATCTGTATTAGCGATCACGTATATCATTATCGATTTATCTCCTAAACGCGTAGTAATATCTGTACGATATGACAAACGAAAAAATTTAATATTTATTACTCGATTGAACAAGTCGAAGGGAAACGTATTCGAGTCTGCGTCTGTCACTTCCGATCGCTCGAATACTCGATTAAACATTATGTACCTATGGTGTATACTTCTCTGTATCTATGTAACTAGAATTATACGTATATAGTTATAATTTTGTACAGTCAACGCAGACGCTAATCACGTATGCACGAGCCGGTCGATCGTTCGCGCGCAAATTCAAATACGGTTAATCTCGATGTTCGTTATTGCGGGTTGTTTATTCTCTATGGTGACCAAACGAACGTGAGTATCGTCTCTATACTTTCACCATGTGAAAATGCTTCGAACACGCGCGCGCGCGCGAACGTCGCCATACACACGGTACAAATACAAATTTTATGCCTATAAACTACTACTATAAACGTTGATTAACAGTGTTCCGCAGTATTTACGGATAGACGATATTCTCGCTACTCTAATTAAACGAAGGCTACTTGAGATTGGGCGCCAGATACACGTATACTGTTCGAAATGTCGATCGCTGTGCACGTTTCTTATGGACATTCTTTGATTTTTCATACGTCGAAAGATGACAAACTCTTCGAATCTGATATTGTTAAGTTACAGATAAATGTAATAGCTGAGATTTAGTTTCTGATCTATTTTCTATTTGTACTATGTCGCACGTGGTGAATATCAATGAGAATCATTAGGTAAATTGGTTTGGTGTCTTTAGATGTATCAGTATCTCGTAGATAACTATTCTTTTGTTTTATGACAATTTTAGAAAAATACTACCTGTAACTTCGTTTGAACGAACTTCGTTGAACTTTATACAATGATTGTAACAATGTAGTTCTAACAGATGACATCTAAATCTATATTGGAATTTTTGTTCGATAAGTCACTGGATTAACTTACGTATGTAATATATACTCAAAGAACAAGTAACTCAATCCAAACTATTGTAAAGTTTACCTAACGATACCAGCTTTAAAGTTAACATTGTCCGCAGGCGTGTATCCAAGGCATACAAAGTTTCTCAATGACAGCAAACAGTCTGCAGCCACCGTTCATAAACATCCTATACAAGTTACTATATCCTGTGTTGTATATTCTAACGTCTTTCAATTACTGTTATATTTACAACATTTCCTAATGTTTTCTATTTTATATCATATTCGTTACGTCATTACACGATGTAATGTTATTATTGACGTACAATAATTCGTAGACATTTTACAGTGATGACACTGTGCAATTGGATTATTTCTTATTTTTAGTATTAGAATCATACAATAGCATGTATGCATTACATCAATATACGCGCGTGTGTGTGTGTGTGTGTGTGCGTGGGTGGAAATTGAAAGCTGTCGAACCACATAATCTCGTTGCAAAATTACGATATTTTGTCATTTATGTGCATGAAACTTTGCAGAGATTTACTAACTCGATTTATCAACCGTTTGTTATAAAGATTTTCTGTAATAGAAATTTTGCACGCGTAAACACATGCCTGCAAACAATGTTTGTATATCTGTACAGGTCATTGGATAGAAGCGAGAAGAAGATAGAATTTGTTCGTTAAGAGACATGTCGTGTACGATCGATCGAAGATTTCTTTTCTAAAAAAAAAAATAAAAAAAATAAAAAAAATAGAAAAGCAAAAACACATGGCGTATCGGCGAATCAAGTGGCACTCGATGTATACTATGAAACTGACACTACCTCACCAGACACCTAATATATCTGAACCACAAGACTGATTTTTAATAGTATTCCTAAATAGATAAGGAAAGAGGGAAAAAAAGAGAAACTAAAGTGAAAAGAAGAAGTAAAATAAAGAAAGAGGAAAGAAGAAACGGGGTATTATAAAGAAAGATATTACGCGTACAAATACGAATAGACCGTTTTTTAAGTAATATAATTAATCATAGTATTCTACCCGTAGTTATTATTATTAAACATTATTAATTATTATTAATTATTGTCATCGTCATGATCATACCGCGCTATTTCGCTGTCGATCGTCGAATTCCTACCTTGGAAATAGGAAAACGAAAAATGAAACAGAAAAACAGATTCTTTGTATTATAATGGCGTTTACTTGTAATTTTATCGATCCTACCAAATCACACAAATCCCCTCTTTAACTCTCACCAAAAGTCTATGCCGGATTTCTCGCGAATCATACCGCAAACCACCGCCACTCATTGTAATGAATGTTCCCATCGAGTTGACGTCTGTCAAAATATTTTTATTATTAAAAACTCACTGTTTAATCGTTCTCGTGCTTTTTCTTTTTCCTCTCACATCACCTATCTGTCTAAATAGATCGTCAAGATGGACTCTCTCGAGTTCTTCAACCAGGTATGAGTGCGTAAATATTAAGAAATATTCATACTGATTAATATTTTATGGAAAGAATCATCACAATTAATCATTCTTCCAATACACGATCTAGAGATACTACATTCACGATGACGAATCATTGTGGCCATGGTAAGTAGATAATTCTCCGCTATTCCTCGGTCAGAGCGCAAATGTATTTAATTTGATCGTTCAATTGTCCGAACATCGATATTATATATTCGATGCGCTTCGCTCGACGAAACCGATCATCGTCGGTATAATCTGCCATACCTGGAACCATAGCGGAGTTATGCTAGTCAAGTTAACAGATTCCATAGGAACCGGCGATCCATCGATGTTTCTCGGGAACCCATCGATAAAAATCCAGTGTCTATTATCCCCTGAAGGACCGCGAGGCGAGGACCCGAATAAACTGTCGCGGCCCACAAAGCGTCAATATTTTCACAACTCATCCGAGGTTGCATCTTGCAACAGCAACGCCCGATATTGTAGGAAAACGAAAAAAAAAAGAGAAAAAAAATCGTAGAGAGAGAGGGTGAAAAGGGGTGGATACTGAAAAACTGCGCCCGTGAACCACTCCGCGTCTCTCTTCCACCTCCGATGCTCGCGTCTATTTCGCTCGTTTTTCGAGCGAAACGTTGCTGCACGAGCTGCATTCAGCTGCGCGCCATTCAATTCGACGAGTTTCCAAAATCTAGGATTCCACACACGAGATTCTCGGTGTGCGTGAGAGAAGAGTGGCTGCCGGCGCTGTTAAATCGTTCGAGAGAGAGAAGGGAAAAGAGCCGGCCGTGGCACAGTGACACATTATGCCGTAATGTGGGGGCACGTGGCAGATGCAGAGGATCGAGTCTGGCTCGATGGATCGGTGAAATCCGTCCGCGCGCAGTTTCCTTTCCTGTGTCCGTCTGCTTCGTCCGGATAGATGTTTGTTCCTCCTTACCTTTGATCAGATGAGTCGACAGACTTTTTCGTTTGATTAGTTGCACGTTCTGGGTATTAGTTACCGTTGTCCTCGGGGAGTTGTTAAACGACACTTTAATGTACGACTGAGGGATGGAATTGGATATCGATTGCATTCGTTCGTGGAGATACCGAATGAAAAATATCGCGTGTATGTATGCAAATTTGTGGGTATATTGGTTTTTTTATATCCATAATAGATATTATACACATGAAAACATTTGAGTTTATAGAGTAAGATTTCGAGAATTTTCACACCCTATAGATAAATTGCAGGTTTACTAGGGTATTTATATGTATAACTAGTAAGATTTAAAGAAAGTACTTTTGCAAAACGTCTTCAATTTTACTCGCTTAATATTATCATCGTCTTGCTACATCACGATAATAATTATTAATTTCTCGCTCGCAGCTGAAATTAAGAAACTCAATTTATTTGTAATTTCTTTGCTCATTAGCAAGTGAAATTTCGGTTATAGCCGGTTAAGTAATGTATCATTCTTACCATAATAAGGGATTGTAGCTTGACAATACCTATATTACTAAAATATATTTTCAAGAAGTGCATACATAATTGACAAAGTGCAATAGTTGACAAACAGAAGATTAAAATTTGTTTACTTTTATACTAGACATTTATGACATTGATAACGGTGCAACATCTGTACCGTCTGTTACATCCTAAGATAAATACATTATATTTTTTTATTGCTCTTGTCGAAATCATAATTCTGTCTGAAAAAAAGAGATGTTGAAACTATAGCATTTAGTTTAATATATCTCCATTTTTGTCTTGTATCTTTTGTTCGTCTTTGAGGCAACCAATTACCGGGAGCATGCAGACTGTCGATGTTGCAAAGCTATTGTGAAAAACACCATGAACGCATGAAGACAAACACTGTTTTCGAGATTAAACTCCGGAAAACTGAAAGGTTTCTTGACCGTTATGTTGTTACCTGAATATTGGTACAAAATAAATAAACATACGTAATCTGTACCGTAGTAACTACATATAGCAATAAACCAATTGTCTTACTGGCTTAACTCTAGCAGAAAAACTAAGTACATTCAATATCTTTTATTAATTCAAATATCATATACTGACTCTGTCAGACCTGTAAACCAAGGAACATTTCAGTACCACAAATACGAAAATATTTATACCTCAGCTATTGGAAGGGTTGGTTTTATTACTTTTCGAAATGCTTCTCCGACATATTTATAATGCTTAAAATTGCAAAATATAAGTGAAAGCGATAATCTTTCGTTCATTATAATAGAACAATTTCCAAATCCGACACGAGAGAGTAATCTTATGATTCTATATCGACAGTCTTCTTATTTGATTTAGATTTAACGATTAAACTAATGATACACGTTACGAAACATTGTGCATCCGTCATTTACTTGCGAAGGTTTTTAAAAACCTTGAAACGGTTAAAAAATTCTACCACGGTACTGGAGACCTTAAAGAAACAATAGAAAATAAATAGCTCCCAATTCCGACTCACCAGGCCTCATTCTTCAACTCCATGCTCTAATTCCACAGGAAAATCTACTCTGTGGACTGCTTTTCCACCTTCCAAATAATCGTAAGCCCGTGAGCGACGGTATACTTTTATGCGTGCCTGGATTTCACGTAATTTTGGGTTTCTCCGAAAAGTAAATGGTATCGCATTTCTTGGGGCGCTGCATCGGATTGGCGCATTGTCAACGGTGGGCCACCTAAGGACCGAGGGTGCCACCAGTCCACGATCCCTTTCATCTCTCTTTCTTCCTGACAGCACGCGCGCTTTGCCCCTATAAAGGAGCGTTTTTTTTACCAAAAAGACAAAAAACAAGGAGGCTGGCCGATGGAATAGCGGAAGAGGGGCTACATCAGCGTCTCCTTCTGCCCTCTTCTCACTCAGTTCATCGTGTGTGCTTTTAGTAGGACGCGTGGCGTGCACACGACGTCATTATTTCACGTCTTTCTCTAATGCTTCTCTGCCCCCAGTGCACCGATGGAAAATTTATGGTGAACTAGTTGCGCGTTTCTCGAAAATTTCCTCGTCGAGTTGTCTCCATTAACGTCAGTTCAAAGATCGTCCTCGATCTTTTTAAATATCGCTGGAGGACTTCCATTAACGATGTTTCAACATTGATAGTGGACTGCTACCGGATCCACCCCCTCCTTTGCAGATTCCTTTTTTTTTTTGTACGGAAGTTAGCCGGTTGTTATAAATCTTCCAAAGGGCATTTTTTAATATCTGCAAATGGATTTTCCATATCTCTTATATACCGTGGTTCGCGAAAGTATTTTAATACTTATAAAATATAATATTTTGAAATGTATTTGATACTGTAATGAAACTCATCTGTCATTCAACATTCAACATAAATCTGAAAATGTGCATAGAAGCTATAAAATATTTAATGAAAGTAAATATTTCGTAGCAATCAGAAAGGTATTTATTATTCATACAGTCGATTATTCATTATATTAGTAAACCTCGATATTCACCGTGCATATTAATTCTTTATTAAATATAATTCGTTGTAGATATCTCGTAACTTTTACATATATTCTCAGATTGGTTTTAAATTCGAACGACGTAATCACAACAGTCGTATCTCGTTACAGTGCTAATGAAATTTTGGAATGTTTTATATAACACACATAATATAAATATACAAGTTTTCCGTAGTCTGTGTTGAAATATTTTCGTGTGCCAGTATATCTATTAAAACATAATTTTCGTTTTCAGCTACATAGCCCAAAGAAGAACAGCAGGGTTAATAGGTATAGAGGACCATGGGACAAGCCATTCAAGGCAATAAACATCCAAAAACTTCACCAATTTCGTTCTTTTGTTCCTTTTTGTTCTCTTCGTGGCATCGTTTGCATGGAAATCGAACTTAATGCCCGGAGATGGAAGTCACGCCCGAAGGAGATCGCCGTTTCGTGCGATGTTCGAAATAGCGGCGTTGATCGTTTTTTTCATTGTTCCTGGGCCATATGTCGGGAATAAAGCCGACTTCCGTAAAACGGGAAGTCATTTAAATTTAGGCTGTTTACGGAATTTAAGAGGCGAACCGAAACAGAGGGTGGAGAGGGTGACGCTGCTCTCCGACTAATATATTCCAATTTTACGTTCATTTCGAGCTTCTACGAATTCTCTGGATCCGTGTATTTTTAGTTACTTGCACGAAACTGTTTGACTTCCAAAACTAAACAAAAAGACACTTTTGGTAACACATTCAACAACGTATTGAATTGTCAATGTATTTTGCTCCTCTATAATCGTCATATATATTAAACGGATTTTTATTGCACTTATGGGATTTTTAACTGTGCAAAAATTCGCAAAAACAGGCATAATACACAAGTATTTAATAAATACAGAAAATCCTTGCCTGGGTTCTAACCTTTCTATCATTTTCGTAAAAGTATGTATTTACGTGCATATTTGTACAATCCAATAATAAATATATAAAATATCTCTGTTCTTACCCATTATGATTGAAGAAAATAAAAACATAAATATATATGAACATGGCAAGACTAAAAGGAGAAAAAAAGAAGAGAAGAGAGAAAGAAATATACGGTATATGTTCGATCGAAATAGTTTCATTTACTGATGACCGGATATTTCCGGAAGTGCGTTTCGAGTGGACGATGGAGAAGTGGCGGATTCGAATTCGAAGGACCGCACGGGGAGCCGAGCAATATATTTTCGAAACTCGTTTTCCAGCTAGCGGGAGAAAAAAAAGGACAATGAGCTGCTCCGGTGAGGCCCGGTTTCGAGTCCTAATTATACAGCACACGCCAAATAAATGGGCATCGTTCCTCGAAAGCACCGTTGCCTCTCGGCAGTCGAATGCTCTTCGGCTTCTCGTAGCACATCTAATGATAAGTAGAAGACCATATGGCGAATCCTTTTGCCACCAGTCAAAATCGCCAGGCACCAA